AAGCAGAATTAATAAAGTTGACAATAGGAAAGCAATAGAAAAAAAATGAAAAGAAATTCTCTCTTAAAAGAGCAGTTAAAATTGATAAGCCTCAAGCCATGCTGAGCAAATTAGATGATACAAATCAACTATTTCAGAAATGAAAGAGAGGATATCATTACTAATTCCACAGAAACTAGGGGAAATGATAAAACAACTCTATGAATATAAGATAGGCAACTTATGAATTGAACCAATTGTTTTCATGAATAAACTACCAAATCTCCATCAAGAAGAAAAAGACATCCTGAGCAGCCCGACATGTATTGAGGAAATTTGTAGCTGATAATGTGAGGAAAAAAAAGTCTCCAGGCCCAGAGTAGTTATACACATGGACTGAAAAAAAAATTGCAGATGAATTAAAACTAACTCTACAGAATATTTGCAGGATAAATGAAATATAGGGAAGATTTCACAGATCACTTTATGAGATCTAAATTACCCTGACATTAACACACAATGATAATTTAAAGAAAAATAAGGCAACAGAGTGATATCCCCCATGAAGATAGATGTAAAAACTGAATACTGCCAAATTAACTCTAGCAATATATCAAAATAATACTATATTGTGAAAAAGTGAATTCAGGCTGGTTCAACATGGTTGTCAATGTAGAACATCCCAGTGGACATACAAAAAAAATCTCTTAGAACTAATTAGTGAGCCACCAAGGTTGAAATTTATAGGTCAATATTCAAAGGCCAATTTCCTTCTCTTTATAAACCATGACCATCTGGAGTTTGAAATTTTTTTAAATGCTATTTATAATGGTATCAAAAATGAAGCAATGAGATAAAAATTTAACAAAATATATGCCAGTTCTACATGCTGAAAACTACAAAACTGTGTTGAAAGAAAATAAAGCCTAAGTTGGAGAGCTAAACCTTGTTCCCAGTTGCTATGATATGAATGTTTGTGGTCTCTCAAATTCTTGAAATTTAATTTCTATTGTGACAATGTTAAGAGGGACCTTAAAAATGTGATTAGACCTTGAGGGCTCTACTGTCATGAATTCAGGCCATTATTATTGGAGTGGGTTTATTATCATGGGCATGAATTTCTTATGAAAGGACAAAATTGGCCTGTTTTGGCATCTGTCTCTTGCTTTCTGCCATGGGATCATACCACACAAGCTCTTGACAGACGTTGATCTTGGACTTTACAGCTTCCAGAAACAAATTTTCGTTGTTTATAAATTACTCAGACTGTTTTACAGTAGCACAGGATGGTCGAAGACGACAGAACAGTTTTTGGTCAATATCAAATTTTTTTGGGCTGGGGATGTGGCTCAAGCTGTAGCACGTTCGCCTGGCATGCATGGGGCACTGGGTTCGATCCTCAGCACCACATAAAATAAAATAAAGATGTGTCCACCAAAAACTAAAAAATAAATATTAAAAAATCGAAGGAGAGAACATGGCGGCAGTGCGGAGGGATCAATCCTGTGACCTCAGCTGCGCCAGCAAAGAGAGACTTCAGTCCGACTGAATGCTGTCTGCTCAGGAACATCTGGCAATGCTGGGCTGAAGTGGATCTTGGGTGAGCAGGATGAGCTTCACAGAGGCCCCAGCAAGCTCCGTGGGGGTGAATTCAGGCTGCCCAGGTGCAGAGTTGGGCAGAGTTACTGACTGATTGACTGGCTTCCCACTGCCAAACCGCCATGACTCAGCGCTACAGAGACCCTCCAGCGGAATAGAGAAACAAATCTTCGGTTCTCTTGTGGATCTTTTGAGGTGGTGCCAACCGAGCCTCCATGGGCCAGCGGGCCGATAGCTGAGGTGGGACCTGGGAGAGACAGACCAGACCCACCCTTCCCACCTGACACCCCGGGAGAGAGAACGGAGTCCACCATGGCAGAGAACTGACATCACCAGAGTTCTGTGGATGGGATTGCTCCCCAGCAAGACCAGCAACCGCAGGTGTGTGACCCTCCATCCGCCTCTCCACACAGCTGGGAAATCTCAAGGGCCCCTCCCCAGCTCTCCGTGAGCATGATTGTCAGACCGGAGGGAGTCAGGAGGGGCGCCTGACCCCTCCCACCAG